CACCACACACACTCTCTCACTAACTCACAAATATGTTAAAAAACACACGAAGGAAGTTGCTGTACAGAACGGCAACCAAGCAGCAATAGGGCACCAGCGCAGCGATCAGCACAAGGTAAACCAAGCACCAGCAACAATCAGCTTAAACCCACAGATATCAGCACTAAGAGAACTGGACCAGACCAGACCCAAAAACCCCAAGCACCACACCGGACTCAGGAAGCAAAGAACCTGAATATCATGTGTGACTTCTTCTTCTTCTTCTTCACTTCCTCTTCTACCACTGTGGGTGTCGAGGGAGATATAAGGTTCTGTTTCTAGCTCTTCTGGTGTGCCTACACACCACAAATAATTAAAAAAAAAATCAAATAAGATAGCAGAGGAACCTTTCTTCATATAGCAGGCCCCCGGGCAGCTGAAAAAAGGGATCACATTTTGAATTTTTGTTGGACAACTTGAATTGGAATTGGAAGGAAGTTGACAAGTACAGTAATCTTGTCTGCCTTTGCTCCGATACGGTTGGGGACATGCAGCGACGGACGCTGACCGAACGAAAATATTTTGAGTTTAGCCCACAATTTTATAAACTCCTAGGCCTTTTCATAAAATAAAAATAATTTGCTGACTGCTAAATAAGTTGAATAATGTATGAAACATGATTGACATGAATAATTTAAAGCTTAAAGAGAACTCCGAGACACATCTTGAAAGAAAGGGGTGGGGTGGGGGGAGAGGGGTGCTCAAGGGAAGGAACAAGGCCACAGGATCCACCCCTTTTACGTGGGTCTTCTTCTTAGCATTCATCAGGGACAAGTTGTAATTGTTCGTCCATTTCTGGACTTTCGTCTTGTCCCAGAACTTTAGTTTTTGCATGCTTATCAATTTTACATATCTAGCGTACATCTATGCAGACCGTTGGTCCTTCCCATCTTTCTAACTTTATTCTCCAGCTCTCTTCTCCATGTGTTTTTTGTGTCCTTCCTTTATTCCTATGCCCCTGTGGGTTTCAATGCAAAGACATTCTAGTTATGATGTTTTCCTGTTTTCTCAGTGTGTGTCATATCCAACGCCAGCGTCTTTTCCTCATCTCTTGGTTCATTGGAGCCTGTTTAGTTCTCTCTTAAAGCTCTACATTAGTTATTCTATCATACCATTTAATTCCTTTTTATTTCTTCCCCTAACTACGCCTCAAAATGAGTGACTGTCTTCTAAATGATATCTTCTTTCTCTTCTTAGCTTTCACCAGCTCTAAATTTGACCGGAAAGCCCTGGCTGTTCGTCCACTTTTGGACTATTGTCTTGTTCCAGAACTTGAGTTTTGCATGCACATCCGTTTTACAGTTCTGGCCTATCTGTATGCAGACTGTTATTCTCACTGACTTTGAAGAAAACACCCTTAAGTAGTCAACGTTTGCGACATGCCTGTTTAGGGAGCATTAGTTCTATTCTTCTACACAAAAATTGAGGCCGAAACCCACAGAGGGACTGAGAGATAAGAAACAAATATATTACAGGGCCACCCAGTGTGGGTTACAGGGCCTTATTGTAGGGAAAACCAGAATAGACCCCCTGCCAACCCAAAAGCATGTCGTAAAAGTCGACTAATTGAGAGCTTCTCTCTAAGTCAGAGTGCATTTGCCTGAGAGGCAGTCTGCATACAAATAAGTCAGATCTGTGAAAAGGATGCACACGCAACACTCAGGTTCTGTAACAGGACTGCAGTCCAAAAGTGGATGAACAACCAGAACATTCCTCTAGTTTACAACTGGTGAACGCGAGGAAGAAGAAAATTACATGGCCAGAGAATGAAAGGAGAAGGGAGTTAGAGAGTGGAGTTAAAAAGATGGGGAAGACGTGGGGAGAGCTGCATGCGATAGCAATTGATAGAACGGCCTAGCGTGAGTTGGTTGAGGGCCCATGTTCCATTGGGGGTTAGACAGGCAGAAGAATATTACAGCAACATCGACAACTGTAGATGTTCAGATGTGCGGATACTTGAACACAATGATAGCAATTAAGTAATGTGTAAATTTACTTCAGTTTACCTAACATCAATATGTTGTGTATTTTATCTAAGGAGAATATTTATAATGATGATGACAACAACACTTTACAAATAACAGTATTGATGATGACGGTAATAATAATGATAAATAAGCAAGCTTATAGGCTTGCAGGTAAGGCAACTGTGAAAGCCAGACAAGCCATGGACCAGGCTGACATACTGAATGCTCTAAGAGAGTTCAGCAGTTGGCGTGAACCAACTGAGAACTGTGAATCTGCAATTATGGTCAGACTGCGGGAACGACATGTTTGTTAAACGGGGTGTCGCTAAACAAGAACACTACGCATGTAGTCAAAGAAGAAGAATAAACCAACAAAGAACTAGTGTTGTTAGCCGCTACACACTGCCGGATTTACTGAGGAGGGGATCAGAGTACTTATGGACTGAATGGTTCGATGTGCAGTGAGGAAAATCTGACGACTAACTTACTAACTAATGATGATGATGCTAGTTATTGATGGAGGGCACCTTTCCGTCTTTCCAGGTGATAGTATTTATTAGGCTTTGAGGAGGTTTAGGACTCATAACCCATGACTATGGCGAGTGTGACTAGCAAGACCCGCCCACGTTAAGAAAAGTCTTCAACAATTATAGCATGGGACTTCAGGACCATTGTTGCCAACATTTGTGTTTAGTCTGTTTCTTCTCAGACGCTCAGCTCTCATCCTTTCTGCAATAATTTCGCCCTTTATTCTCATTCCCTTCCTAATGTGACCTCTGCACTCAACACAGTTCCTGGCATTTTGTCCCCACGAGTCCACCTCAGTATCTGTATCATTAATGTCCAACTTGCACACATATTGATATCGCAGTAGAGGTCGGCCTCAACATCTTCTACCCATCTTTAGTTCACCATAAAGGATGTCCTTAGAGACTCTGCATTCCTCACTTAAAACCTCTCCCCCTGCCCCTTCCCCAAACATACAAACTGCATGGGAATGCAGAGAACTAGCGCCTCCCCCCCCTCCCCCCAGTTTCGCACAACGGGTTTAAGAAGCCCACATTAATCACGTCTACCCAGTCTATAAATGTGTTTTTACAGTTCACGTAAATCCAAGTATATTTCTGTAGCTGCAGTTCAACATTTTATTATTATTAATATTATTATTATTATTATTATTATTATTATTACTATTATTATTGTTATGATCAAAAATAAGTATTAGGCGGCGTCCGTGGCTTAGGTGTTGCGAGTCCGACTCGTAATTCCAACATTTTGCGATCGAAACCCACTGCTGGCTGCGTGGATTTTTTATCATGGTATGGGTCCTTGCATGTCGACCAAGCCTTCGATTGGTACCAGGATCTATGTCCAGTTGAAGTAAAGATGGCCGGCGTAATGCTGACCAAATTATCCACCTAATGCCGATTGGTCTGTAAAATTGGGTGCTCTTCCCACATGCCCGATGCACCTAAAGGGGTGAAAAGGGAACTTTACTTTTAAAAACTAGGATAAAGCTCCCTGAACTTCCCCCCCCCCCCACCCAAATCACCAAACTCCTCTCACCCCGATGCCGCCTCCCCCCCCCACCCCCCCCCCCAAAAAAAAAGTTTTTAAACGGGGATGAGGTTCTGTTTTATTTCAGTGTATCCTGAATGTCTCTGAATTTCATTTTTAAAAGCCTGAAAGGAATGAACATAGGATATATAAAATAACATAGATTTCTCTCTGAAAAATCAAAGAAGACTCTATATTCAAATTAGAACCCAATTGTTTTTGTAAAATTACGACCACTACTCTGTATGCAATAGTCTTTTTTTCACAGTTTTCTTATTTGGGAATTTAGGGGGGGGGGGGGGCGGCTACCAAACCCTTTGTGTCTCGACGTATCTTCGCCTGGACTGTCTCGTCATAATTTGTCACATATGCTTTCGTATATGTCTTTCAGCTTATGTTGTTTACCTATTCCTAATCCGACGTTGTGTGTGTTTGCTATAACTGATTGTTATGAGACAGGCCTAGCGTAAGTTATCGCTTACAGATGTAATCTTAAAGGTACTTTACAAGTGTAATCCCGGCTTTGAAACGCTTAGAAATTTTTTTCAGGGGAATCCTTGTAAACACGAGAGATGGGGGACATTGCTGCCATTTTACACAGCTTTCTGCGTGCTCTCACGTCCACTAACAAATTCAGCATCACCGCACGTAAAATTTTAGTCAACAAAACGACACGGAAGCGTGCTGTTTCGCGGTTCTAAGGGCGGGGCTTTGTAATCCGCTCCACTCGCGACATCTCTGCATGGCAGTCGAGGGGCGTGTTCACGCAATGCTATTGGTCACGATTAAACCAGCGGCCCTTGTTATGAAGCCCCTACTCCATTACTCCTCATTCTAGTGGCTAGAGAACTGCCGTAGCGAGGTCATGCGTGCAGGTTGATCCGGCTTAAAGTCTGAAAATCCGCTCTTCTCAGGTTCAACGCTACCTTATCATCATTTTCGTCATTAGGAGAAAGTGTGCAGATAATACCTTGTCTCTCGCGCTCAACACCAACACGGTAGACCCAGTTGAGGTTTATTTTTTGTTGGATTCTTGGCGCTGTCTCTTAGTCACCACAGAGGGGATTATAAATTCATCGGAGCAGCTCGGAGGAAAGCCTCTTAGACTATGAACTCGGCTGACGATCGGATGAAAAACAGATTTCTATCACTACATGAGATGTCAGTATGCTGATTAATTCTATATTTTCTCAGTGCCATTAGGAACAAAAAGATAAACAGATTATCTTTGATTTCACATTGGAACTATATTGCACAGTCAAGTCTTCTAATTACTTTTAGATTATCAACTCTAGGCGAGTTAGTGCGTACAGATAAGTATTGGAAACAGAGCTGCAGTGTCGTGTGAAATTCGAGGATTTTGTGTGTTCGCCACTCCGACCGCGGAAAGGTTTAAACTTATTGTTTCTCCAAGAGATTTGAACCCAAAACTTCTGGATGACGAGGTTTCACGGCTGCACCTTGTGTGGAGAGAGCCAGGCCGATTGTTTGTGCAAAAATTGTAAGTTGTTTTCTTAACATTTATTATACAATAGTTTGCTTTTACTTTAAGTTGTTGTTGGTTACCTTTACCAGATGTAAACCCCGGCGGAAAGACCTGGTTGCTCGTCCATGTCTGGACTTTGGCTTTGTTCCAGGACCTGAGCTTTGCATGTGCATCCGTTTTACAGGTTTTGCTTATTTGTATGCAGACTGTTGGTTCATTGCATCTCATACAGATGCACGCTGACTTAAAAGGAAACCCCCAGTTATTCGACTCTTACGACATGCTTGTTGGGGAGGCAGTGGGTCTATAATATTTGTTCCTTACAATGGGACCCCAGAACCCACACAGGGATGTTTTTACTCAACAAAAATGATTTTTTTTTCTTTCTTTTCCTGATATATAACAGTATACAGGTATGTTTTAATCAATCAGGTCACTACAATATACAGATTCATTTCTTGTCCTTATATATAACAGTATACAAGTATGTTTTAATCAATCAGGTCACTACAATATACAGATTCATTTCTTGTCCTTATATATAACAGTATACAAGTATGTTTTAATCAATCAGGTCACTACAATATACAGATTCATTTCTTGTCCTTATATATAACAGTATACAAGTATGTTTTAATCAATCAGGTCACTACAATATACAGATTCATTTATTTTCCTGTTGTTATGTCACATAAGGCTCACAATGTGTTCCTCCACTCCTTTCTATCCTGTACGGTCAGTTCAAGATCATGGCTGAAGTCTAGTCCAGCAGTTTTGACCTCTCTCATCAACGTTCGTATTATGGTTTATTTTGGGCGGCCTGGCCTCTTATGTGTTCCCTCTGTTTCTCATTCGAGTGCCTGTCTGGCAATTCTCTGCTGCTTTCTTCTGATGTGTGTCCAATATAGCGCCACCTTTACTGTGTTTTAACCCTTGATATTAGTGTTTGCCCAAACTTTTCTCTTATTTCTTTATCTCTTTTGAATTCATTTGTGTTTGTGTGTGTATCACTAATGTAGAGCTTAGGGAGAGAACTAAGCAAGCCCCAGTGGACCAAGAGGTGAAGAAAAGACACTGACGTTGGATAGGAAACACATTTAGAAAACCGGAGAACAATATAAATAGACTGTCTTTGCACTAGAACCCACAGAGCATAGGAATAAAGGCAGGCCAAACAACTCTGAGAAGGAAGCTGAAGAATGAAGTTAAAACGATAGGGGGGACATGGGGAGAGATGCATGCGATAGCAAAAGATAGAACGACTTGGCGTGAGTTGGTTGAGAGCTTATGCTCCATTGGGGGCTAGAAGGGAAGAAGAAGAAGAAGAAGAAGAAGAAGAATATTGATCGGCATTTATAGAAAGAAGTAGGTGTATAGAATGACATGTCTGAGACATTATAGGAAGAAGTAAAAGGATAAACGGAGACATCAGAAACAACATAACATTCGAAAGCTATAGATGCCGAGCCTGGAATCGAACCTTTCACCTCCAAATGACGACACCTAGTTGCAGAAACCTGGGTACTAAGACACATTACCAACTAAGTACCTCTAAATAATGGTATCTTCAACAACGTACATTGCGATTTTGCACTTTAGATAAAAATAAATAAATAAATATGTATAATGTTTCTACGACCGAACGTTCCCTGTAATGCTTCCACAATAAAGGTTTTCCGTCGTAAGTGAACTTTTTCACCCTGGATGTACGCTTTTTCGAGAAGGCTTTGTCTTTGTCATCCACCATTTGTATCGCTGTCTGCCTCTTGCTCGCTTGCACCCTAATTCTGCCTTCCAGTGTGGCTACAAGAGGGTAAGATGGTTATGCCTTTTTATATGTCTCAAATATTTCACGCATCTTCTTTTCTAGCTCCCTTAAGTAACCATATTTTATTACTAGTCGTATCAGAACCGTTGAATTTGACAGTTGTATTTTTTCCCACATGGCGTTCGAAAGAGTATGCTTTAGTATCCATCAAATGTTTGCTTCTTGTGGCAGGTCTAAGTCAAGCCTCTCACTGTACTAACTGTCAAAGTTTGTAAAAGCTCAAACACAAGACCTCAAGCTGTACGCACACAATACAAAATAGTTAAGTCCAGCACACTTTACTGCGTGTTGAGACGTATTTGGCATATGACGCTGGCGTTGGATAGGACACACGCTGAGAAAACATGAGAACAATTTAACTAGAATGTCTTTGCACTGGAACCCACAGGAGAAAATAAATAAAGGAAGACCAACAAACACATGGAGAAGGGCGCTAGAGAGTGAAGTTAAAAAGATGGGGGAGTACGGGGGGGGGGGGGAGTTGCAAGCGGCAGTTAAGGATAGAACGGCCTGGCGTGAGTTGGTTGAGGGCCTATGCTCCACAGGGGGTTAGAAAGACAGAAGAAAGTTGCCAATACATATTTCAAACCTACAGTAGGTGGAAACTATAGTCAGTTATTTCCCACAACATTTTCTAGGTGTGAGTCTTAGTTGGTTTGACTTAGGGATTTGAACACGTCATCTTAACTCCAACGGGCAAAGATACTATCCACAACGTTGCTTCTTCTCTATGGTATAAAGTAAATATTGTACCTAAAACAAATAACTGTTACAGAGATTAGTAAAAATAAATTTTTAAAATATATCTGCCACTCACTAGTACCCCAGACCCCAACTATTACGAAGATAAGTAAAAATAAAGATTGTAAAATATATCTGCGTCTGACGAGTACATGAAACCAACAACTGTTACAGAGATTAGTTTAAAAAAAAAGATTGATTAATATATATCTGCCACTCGCCAGTACATGAAATCAACAACTGTTACAGAGATTGGTAATACTTATTAATAAATTGTATATCTTTGACATGACATTGCAAACCTTACAGCACCACTTCCTGGCTGTTTAATTTTTACTACGAAATTTTACATTCAGAAGTTTGTGCCATTGCTTCTTGAACTTTTAACGCTCCACATTATTGTCAAAATTAACACAAAGCTGCCAAATGGCCTGCCACTGGGTCGAACTCAGTATTTCGGAGTTATGAACAACATTTGAAACCCCTAAGCCACTGGTCCATAAGTCAGTAAAACCTGACACAGCCTTATGTGTCAATAAATGACTTTCTTTTCCCGTGTGGGTTCTAGGGCTCTATTGGGGAGTTGGGGAAGTGGCTGGGTATAGACATATTGCCTCCGTATCAATCATATTGTAAAATGCAACCGATTAGGGATGTTTTTTCTCCAGAGTCGAAGGGCATCGACATTAGAGTCGAGGAACCAATATTCACGCAAGAAAGCCAGATCTGTAAAACGGACGTGCACGCAAAATTCGTATTCTTGAACAAGACTAATGTCCAGATGTTCACAAACATCCAGATCTTCCTATTGTATTTACAGCCGATGAACGCTAAAAAGAAGAAGAAGCATGTCAAGAAGAAGAGGAGAGACAAGAAAATGAAGAAGAAGAAGAAGAAGAAGAAGAAGAAGAAGAAGAAGAAGAAGAAGAAGAAGAAGAAGAAGAAGAAGAAGAAGAAGAAGAAGAAGAAGAAGAAGAAGAAGAAGAAGAAAAAGAGGCAAATGAAAGGTGAGGACACGATAACAAAAAATGTAGAATTTAGGACTATAACGAAGGGATACAACCATCAAATACCTCCGAGCTGAACGCTTGTGAGGCTCCCTGCTCATTACAAAGATGAACATAAGATCAGATATGACTAGAGGTTTCTTTAAAACTATCCTAATCCGTCTTCTTTTTATAATTTTTATAGTTGCCCAAGAGAAGGGGTCGGGAGTCTGAGAAATTAAGTCCGCTTGGTTAGTGCAGTCGCCTCCAACAGTTCAAATTAAGATTGTTTTTGTTGTTGCGCCCCCGCCTCCCAATGATCTACAGAAAGTCTTTATCCCTTTCCGAGTATCAAAGCCGGGTCTCACACTCTAACGATTCGGTCGACCGACTGCATTAACCGGAATTACGGAATTACTGGAGGTCCATTTATGCTGAATTGCATACTCAGTTATTCAGTCAGTCTACCGATCGATCGAGCGATGGGGGACATTTATGAAGCAGTGATTTTCCTCCATATATGAACTGAAAGTATATAGTTCTTTCGCCCAGCTACAATGCTGAGTTCGTGGCGCGATACTATAAACTGAGGATTTTGTCCCGAGTACTTTTTCAATTGTTCACGATTGTGCTTACTTAGTTTTTGTTGTAATTACAGATTTATCTCAGGTTTGAGGTTTGAACAACGGACCAACATCATGGCGCACCGGTAGCAACCCATAAGTGTTCCCTTCTTCTTTTAACTTAAGTCTCAGTCCGAAAAAGCTCAGCACAGGCTCTGTAGCACCAGGGAGGATCCTGAAATACTTTGGGTAGATTTTTAACTCAAAATTGTGCCCGTGAATCGCCGTTAGGCTACTCTTTTCGATTTCCAAATGCAAGGAGATTTTATACGTGCGCAACAATGCACATGGGCGTCCGATCTCACTACCCAGAGACCAGGGGAAATTACTGGAAGTCCAAGTCCACGTGAAAAAATCCCAGCCCTTACCAGGGAATTGAACCCGGAACCTCTAGCACTCGAAGCGGACATCGTGCCTCGAGACCACGCAGCCCCCTTTACAGATTTTGACAATATCAACTGGTTTGTTGTAACATGAACTGATGTATCTTTTGCGAATAAGTCGATGTGCATGTTGTAACTGCTGTTTCCATTGATGATAAACTGCATTTCTAGTGACGAACTGTTGTGTTGGCACTTATAATGGCTGCCTTATGCATTTAGTGCATGTGTATGCCACTGGCTTTGCCGATACTACAGTTTGTGTGAATCAGCCATTTCACACAGTGATAGGCATTCTTTGTGCTTTTACACTGGCACAAAACAGAGTCACACTCCTATTGGTTCCATTGGTATTGAGACTCTGTTCTGGCTGCTGAAGGAATGAGTGACGTTCAACCCAACCAGGGCTGAGCGATAGACACCCAGTGACACATAGCGCCACCATTCGGATGAGAAT